TTATCTATCTATCTCCCTATCTATCTATCTATATCCCTATCTGTCTATCTATCTCCCTATCTATCTGTCTATCAATCTCCCTGTCTATCTATCTACCTACTTACCAGTCACATTACTACTCTGCAGCTATCTATCTATCTATATCCCTATCTATCTATCTATCCATCTATCTCCCTATCTATCTATCTCCCTATCTATCTATCTATCTCCTTATCTATCTATCTACCTATCTCTCTATCTATTTATCTATCTCCCTATCTACTTACCAGTCTCCTTGCCTACCTCCCTTTCAATCTCCCTTCCTACATAAACATATATGTAAACAACCTCCCCCTCCCCCCCCACCAACACATTACTACTCTCACCTCCTCCTCCAGATAAGCCTCGAGTTGAGATCGAACTCGAGCACGACTCAGAAGACTTGGAAGAAGGCGATGACGTCACGCTGGAGTGTTTGCTGAACGCCAATCCTCCAGCCACGAGCGTCGAGTGGGAGCGCAATGTGAGTGTTGAATAAGCGACGGAGAGGGAATGTGGGGGGGGGAGGGAATGGGGGAAGGGGAGAAGGGGAGGGGGAAGGGAGGTGGATGAGAGGGTAAGGGAGGGGGAGGGGGTAAAGGGGAGGTAGAGGGGGGAGGAGGGAAGAGGGGGAGGGGGAAGGGAGAGAGAGGGGGAGGGGGAGGGAGGGGGAAGGGAGAGGGAAGGGGGAAAGGGGAGGGGGAAGGGAGAGGAAGGGAGGGAAAAAAATACAAAGAAAGGGAGAAAATCAAGTGAAGGAATCACATAACCAGAAAAAAAACGAAAAAAGAAATTTTAAAAAATACACGAATAACAGGAGCTAAATCAGGTGAGAGAGATCAAAAGACGTATCAGAGGAAGCTACATTAACATAACAAAAGCAACCAGCATCTTAAACATCGTCTTGCCGTGTTAAACAAACAAACAAAAAAAAAATTGCTTCTTCCTCTTTCGTTTACAAGGAATTTTCAGAAGCTCTTACGTTTTTTTTTTTGTTTGTTTGTTTTTTGTTTCACTTGTCATACCGCGAGATTCTTAATGTCGTATTTGATATTTTTTTTATGTGTGGATAGGACTGTGATTGTTGTTGTTGTTGTTATTAGTGGATGTAGTTGTGGTATCAATTCACCGTCGTTATGATTACCTATCGCCATCGTCATTATCATTATTATTGTAAGTATACTGTCATTAAGTATACTGTCATTAATTAGCATCATTATTATTACTACCATTATCTTTTTTCCCGAACTGAAATGGGCTTCCGGATACGACTCTCCCCCTCCCTCTCTCGCTCTCTGTGTCTGTCTGTCTTTTTATCGGTCTTTCTGTCTGTTTGGTTATCTGTCTCTCTTTGTCTCTCTCTATCTCCCTCCTCCCGCCCTCTTTATCTTCTCTCTCTCTCTCTGTCTATCTGTCTTCTCTCTCTCTCTCTCTCTCTCTCTCTCTCTCTCTCTCTCTCTCTCTCTCTCTCTCTCTCTCTCTCTCTCTCTCTCTCTCCCTCCCTCCCTCCCTCCCTTCCACTCTCCTACCCCCTTTCTCTTTGTGCTTGCGTGTGTGTAGTTCAGAATCAATTTCCCTTTGTAACGTAATGCATAAAAAAAGAAAGAAAGAAAAAAACACATCGGGATAAATTGCATCCCGGGCAGCGTAAACCATTTGAACTTCATTGCCAGCGCTGAAGAACTGCCATCTCCATACCTATTTTCCCCGCGGGCCCGACCTGAAAATCCCAATTACAAAAAACGGGGAAAATACCGCAAAATCCTAGCAACGACGTCCGTTAAAAATAACCGGCTCCGCCAACTCAGATTCGAAATTTGAATTCGAAAACCTCAACGGATCGTGTTACTTGAGCTATGAAATGAGGGAGTGAGTAATTAAGCTTAAAAAAAGGAAAGGAAAAAAACTAATAGATAAAACTATGTACAGTTAGAGACAAAAATATCTAGTGATGAATGGAGCTTCGAAATCCTGCTAACCTAAATAACGCTCATATTATTTCGGTTGGACACGAGTTTTTTTTTTCTTTCTTTCTTTCTTTTTTATCGTAACTCGGAGAATGCGCTCTCAAATAAGTAAGTCATCCATTAAAAACGAGAGAAGCGAAAACGGTAGCCTACAACAGCCAATACACCATTCGCTAAAGATACAGTAGTAGTAATCACACCGCAGATATGCCACAGATGCATTAGGATCATGAATAAAAAATACATCACATATGCACCATTCATTGAGGGAAAACAAAACAAAACATTAAAACACAAAGGCATTCATCCACACCAAAATACAACAACAACAATTCAACGAAAACAACATCCTCCACAGAGAATACATTGAACGTTCCACAAATAAAGGGAAAGAGAGAGAGAGAGAGAGAGAGAGAGAGAGAGAGAGAGAGAGAGAGAGAGAGAGGAGGAGAGAGAGAGAGAGTAGAGGGAGAGAAGAGAGAGAGAGAGAGAGAGAGGGGAGGAGGAGGGAGAAG